TATCTTTCTCATGAAGTCTGAGTAGTTTCCTGTATATTTCTCAATACTCTGAGATATCGCAAATAAAGAGATAATTTAGATGTGCCAATTTTAAAATATAAAATAAATGGTGATAGGTTTTCAACTCCGTTCTTAATTTACTTTTCGATCTGGTGAATTAAATTGTTAAAATATGTTGTGAAACATATGATACGGGAAATTGAGTATGAGTTCTATAGCAAGAGTGAGAATCACATTTAATTCCTTGAAGAAGTATTTCGTTAATGGAATTAAGTGCAAATAAATAGAAAAATATACTTTATTGGGTGTAGAATTGAAGATTTTAGGATGGACTAAAATACTAAATTCGGTCTTAGTGTTTAAGAGCTAAAGCGAGCGTTAGCCTTCAGGGAAGGGAAGTGGGAGCTCTAGAGTGAGAGCCAGTATCCTCCCAACCTAACCACAGATTTAAGGACTAAACCTGAGATTAGCCAATGATTTTCTATAACACTGAACAAGGGTAGAGAATTAAAATTGTTTCTATTTGGCACAATACATATTTAAACAATTTATCTCATCTCATTTTACCAAAAACTCATTAGTGAGAAAGATGTTTTTTCATTTTAAAAAATTTCATCACATAAACATAGTTTAATAGTTACTGTTTAAACTCAGCATTTTAGTTTTGCTAGTAATTAATAATTTAGTTCTAATAGTATCTCAAACAATTCAAGATTAGTGTCAGTAATTTTATTTTATTTCTATAAATTTCCTAGTTAATTTTTCATTTCAAATTTAAACTTTCCTTATGGAATCGGTATTTGAGGCTTAAATAGAAAATCTTATACTTGATAATGATACGTATACTTACGTAGAATCCCAACATAAATTGTTTAAACTTCTTATTCATAAAATAATGCATCAAATTTTTGGCATCGTTATAAAGCGGAGTCAACTTTATGAGTTTTACACAACTATATTTTCAGGATCAATCATTCAATGTACCACTAAAGATTCACTATATATTATTGTATCGTTTAGATATAAATATTTTTTAATTTGTATACAACTATTACAAGAACACTGCCTAAACTTGTACCAATAATAATGCATCAATATAAATATCATTTTTCATGTACAGATACCTTAGCATTCCCTCTCTAGTATCATAAAGAGATAGATACCTCAACATTCTCTCGCTAGTATCATAAAATGATTAACTCCATCATAGTTAAGAATGCACATGCAAGCATAGTATAAGAATTTTAATGATGATCTTTTCATTCTTATTCGTATAACAATCAACTCTACAATGCTCAATATTTACAATTATTTAAATAAGATTGAGTGCACATATGTTTCCTACAATATGAACAAAAATTTAATCGAATCATAAATCATAAGTTTGCAATTCTTCTTCTTCTTACGTCTTGCAAGTATGTTGACGTTCGAGATCGAAGCCAATGTCCCTTATCCGACTCAAATAAGACATGATCCAAGGTATGTTAACAATTGTTGGGCATTACACAAAAATCACATATATAAACCCAAGATAACTGGTATTGCAATCCCCAATAAAAATGAGGTGACAATCCCTCATTGAAGAGCCGATGGTTCGAAAAGATCGTAGTAGATAGTAACACCCTTTATGCCGCTCCCACAACTCATTCACGTGCCCGCGTCAAACTTGTCTCACGAAACCCATCCCTCAGAACCTAATCAACTCAACAGACTGATTTTGTGGATCAATTACACTAGTCACCTCATTCACATACATATTCATATCTATCATATCAAAAGACCTTATAGTTTGCCTTAAAAAAAATTCAAGTCGCTATATTTGCTCAAATAAAAATAGTATATTGCACATATAAACGAAAAACTATATTTTTTTTTTTAGAAATAAATCTTGTAGGTCATACTTAAATTCAATCAGGATGTCCTCACAAACATTCTACATTTGAAAGAGATAGATCGCAACTTAAGTAAAGTTCAAACTTAATATTGGCCACCAAGGGTGCCACAAGATGTTACGTAGCCAACGAAAAAAAAAAAAAACAAAATTATTCAACATTCGTAGTTTTATATCTGAGCCTCCTGAGCAAATAATACATGCGAATAACTAGTAAAATAAAGAATCTGTGGCAAAACCATCGTGTTGCTAACAACAGCAGCTGTTGGCAAATCCAAGCCATAAAAGCTTGGGTGGACTTTAGAGAAGCTACACAGATTTCCCACTTAAGTTATACAAGAAACATTGATTGGCATTCAAAACAATATAAGACAAATAGAAAATGCAAAACCTTGCTACAGAAGACCTGGACATGTCCACGTTAAGTTCAATCAAAGTTATCTATTTTGATCGGAACGATTGGATCGGCTACTTTGAAATGGCCGACGGTTCTAGCAAAAAACACCATTTGCTGCTCCAAAGTGAACTTGATGTTTTCAGCCTATAAATAAAAATTTTTGTACTAAACTACAGCGTCATAATTAGAAACCTGCTAGTGAAATTTAAGAATGAACTTTTTTGTACTAAACTACAGTAATTAGAAACCTGCTAGTGAAATTTAAGAATGAACCTTGCGAAATCCGTGCTGTTCTCCTTCAAACTCTACCAAAGCAACAGGTACACCCTTTTCCTTCAAGGCGTTGTATATCTTTCTGGCTTGTTCAGGAGAAACAATCTTCATCAAAAATTAATTAGTCAGCCTATATAAGAACAGCACAAAAAAAAAAAAGAAAGGAGATTGAAACTATTTCTGGATATTTGAGTTCCATAAAATGCAACATATTATTATCGTAGTCTACAGAACCAGAATATGCAGTGAATCGAAGAATAAAAATATTTATGTTTGAACTTTTGTTCTTGTTGTATCATGGTCATGGTAGTTTTTTTAGGTTAAGGATTTGAGAAAAAGAGCAACAGAGAAATAAAATAAGTTTCTGTACCAAGTAATTCAGTAAATACAAAAATAATAGCAATTCCAAATTAAGTGCCAAAAATAATGCTGTTCCTCAATTCAAGTTTCACATCTGGAGCAACCATCAATAAAATATGGCAGTTGTTTCTTATGTTTCTTTCCAAAACTTGTTATTTCATAGTTAGTTCTTCATTGAAATATACTTCAAAGTGCGTTATCCGAACGAATCGAAAAAATTCACTCTTCAAAAGAAAGACACTATTGTCCAAGTTGATCTACAAGCTGCAAACAACTTAATGATCTAATTTAATCACCTTTAAATACAAAATTTTGACTGTTTATTAAACTTAATGTGAAAATAAACTGCTTATAATGACTCACAGTAACAATACTACAATTTTTAATTTTTATCTTGAACTCAAATCTATTAATAATATTATCATATCTAATTACAACATCTGCTAACTACTGATAACAGAAATCTATACTATTTCTGATTGTAATATTTTTTTTACATTATTGAGGAAATTCTCTGCACATGTATTTTTTTCGCCCCAAAAAAGAATAGAACTCTACCCAGATAGATTTCTTGATTAAAAGTAGGGCATAGGTTAGTTACACTCACAAAATACAGATAGCGACCAACATAACTAAAGCATGCAGGCTAAATCTGAATAGAGCTCATTGGTTCTATTGGTTATGAATTTTACATTTTATCAGTACGAAAAGTCTGCTACACATTTTTTATTCCACTTGAAGAACATCCGAATCAAACCTGCCTAAAATGTGAATCAACCTTTTTCTTATTTAGTTTTATTTTTATACATTAAATAGAACAAAAAAAAAGTAAAATTCTGTTTGTAAGGAAACTTTCTTTTCCTGGTTTGTCAAGCTTGATCTACCCCAAACCCACAATTGTGGCATTGAAAAGATTTTTTGTGAACAAGCAGGAGCTTGCTGTAGAAGACTTGAAATGGATGATAGTGAATAAAAACTACCTGTTAGACTTATGTCCAACATCATAAATTTAAAACGAAAGAATGGTTAAAATTAGAAAGATCTGTGCGACATGTTTACTTTTTATTTCATATTTTGCCAAAATTTGATAGATTGGCAACAGAAAGTCCTAATTGTTAGTAAAGCTTAGCGCCTCTGTACCTTGTCATCTAGTCCTTGGAACAATATCACTGGGCAATTGAATTTGTCGACAAAGTTAATAGGGGATTTCTCAAAATAAGCGTTTTCATCTCCTGAAACATCGAAGAAAGAAAGAAATAAAATTAGTTCTGCAGACTCCAGTAGCATTTGGTAATTTAACAAAGGTTATCCTTACCAACAAGGTTATCAATATAGTGGGACTCAAATTTATGAGTCTCTTCTCTCAGTGATGAGAGGTCAGCCACCTGTATTGATAGCAAAAGACGAGTAATATTATGCTACCAAAATAATCATTTTACTAATATAAGGCAAGAATCAGGACAATAATAAAAAATATGCTTCGGTGCTACCAAAATTGAATACTAATTGACATGAAAATGGAGGACAGTCTCAGGTATTACGATTACAAAGCTAAGATTTAGAAAATAATTAAGAAAACTGTCAGCACTGATAAAGTTCAGCATGTTGTGAACCTCATGAACTTAGTAAGCCAATTCGGTAGCACTTCCCAATAATGAACGAAGGTATCATCTCAAGAGATTTAGTGAAACCTTGGCGAACTATTTCATGTATAAATAACACTTTCAAACCTCTTATTGAAAAAAAAAAGACTTCCAAAAAGTTCTTAGGTACCATATCAAGCCAAATAGTTATCTTAGTGAGCTTTTGCATACTTCACTGTGATGTGCTCTGAAAAGTAAGAAGAATTCTTGTGTGATTAAACCTATCTTGGTCATTTCCTAGGTGATGTCGAGCTCTACATCCGCTCAAAAAAGCTAAATTGACAGAATATAATGCCTCATTCAAGGAAAAATGGTTAGATCCGATTTCGATCCGAGCTAAAATTCAATCCGATTTTTGAGCGATTCACGATCTTCGAGCCAATTTCACAGCCCTACTTGCTAGTTAGCTATTGTCAGATCACAAGCATCCAAATGAGAAGATTGTGAGAGATGTGTGGACACAAGTTTAAAAAGCTCATAACTGAATTTAATAAATCTGGATTTTAAGGTAAATCAAGAGGGAACAAAAATCAATTTAAACCCTACTCGATCCAGCCACCAAATAACCCCTTCTACTCTCCCTTGCTAAACATCTTTTTGCATCATTTCTCATCTCAAGTGTTCTCCATTCCAATCTCATGATCAAACCGAGCAATAAAATCCTATCCAATCAAATCAAAGCATAGGGTTTTCTATGTTTCTGGCCTCCTCATGCAAATCATTAAAAATGACTCTAGATTTTACTTTGCATAATTTAGTTTTGTTCCTTACTGAGCATTGAACGAAGCCTAGGATGAGGAAAGGAGCAAAACAATGTTTTTTTGTCAACGATATTTCCTTCAGCAAGAAAATCATGAGTTTGCTAAAGTGTACAAAATTTGTACCATCACTGCACCGTTCTCTCCATAAAGTCTATTGTTATCGCACCAAAAGTTCGCAGGAACTCAAATCTAGCTATATGAAGAAGCCTGGTCCTTCTGGATCAACTGGGAAATCAGCTTTGAACTTGAAGCAGAAGTTTAAAATTGCATCTGGTGTGGTTAAGTTGCTGAAGATGAAGAAGAAGACCGAGTGGAATCAGAGACTATGATGTCTTACGAGCCTGCAAAGATTTAGAAACTGGAGCAGTTGTATGCCTCCTAGTTAAAACCAGAGAACGGTTATGCACCAGTTCCTCCTCATGATCCTACAGCAAAGAATGTTGCCGAAAAATAAACTAGAATTGATGCCAACAAAGAAGTTATTTAAAGGATATTAAGTGTCATAAGAATCCTGGAGATATTCATTTAAGTTTTAAATTGATGCAAGCAGTTAAGATCACAAATATAATAGTGTCATCTTCTTGAAGAGAGAAAAAATCCTATGAAATCAAATGATTCTCAAACACCACGTCATGAAAGCGGCAGTGCTGCTGCAACTTAAAACATTAAACACTTCTAAGAACTCCAAATAAGAGTCGCCTATATATAAAAATTCTAACTTCTAGACTCCAGCATAAATAATTTAAACTACTTGGTACACGTTATAGCCTTTAGAATATAGTAACAATAATTCGAACTCTAAGATATGAAAAATATAATGTTGTCGCTTTAGAGAAAGCATTAGGGGAATGATAATGAACCCAATCAACGTCCTATGGTTCCGTCGTTCTGGGTTATCATGAACTATAAATTATGTTATCCCAAGGGATCCTGAAAATTTGGGATGAATATTTGTGTACGTGGACAATTTTACATCGATCACAACTAACATAGAGATTTGTGTCATGTCAAGCGAACAATAAAATTTATTATTCAATAGATTTTTGTCATTGTGAAATTTGCAAGCTTTGATCACGATCATAATGTAATGATGCCATTTTGCAACGAACTACCTAAGCAAAAGGCTGTCATGACCAGATCTGGGTCTTCAAATTAACCAAAATGGGAATAGACGGACGGTGGAAATAACTTTTTTATATTTCTAATTTTATTTCAAACAGTTTAATATAAAAAAATTAATTGAAAGAGCCACTAAGGAAAATATTTTAATTAACAAATAATAGTTGCCTTTTTGGATTGCTGGCCTCGACTTTTGTATACATTGACTCCACATCTATTCATCTTATTTAAAAGCTTAAAACCTGAAAAAAATATTAAAACAATATAACTAATCTCAAGATATCTCAAGAGCAATCACACTTTTAAACTACAGTAACACAAGAAAAATAAAACAATATGTGTAATAACTCTGTTAAAGAAAATATAATAATAATAACAAATAAATAAATAAAAAGAAATACATGAAAGAAATTGTCAATGGGTAGGTCGGTTCGAATGAAACATCTCAATTATTACTACTTAAGAGACGAGTGTCTTATTTGAAGCTAGAGATAAAAGAAACAAAGGAGAAGCGGCGGTAGAAGGAGAAGAAGACTTACCTGTGAGGAACGAAGTCAGGGGAAAAGACATACCTATGCCGAAGGAAGGAGCGGCTCGTGTTTAGGTTTGGCATCGTTTTGTGCGAAGGAAGCGATGCCCTAGCCATAGGTAGGAGAGTAGGGGAAGAGTAGGGATGCGGCTTTGTTAAAAAAAGGAGGAAGGTCGAGCCATGAAAAAGAAGAGGCGAGGCATCAAACCAGAGCAAACGATATTGACTTGAGTGCGAGGCTTATCTCGTGTGTAGAAGGGAGTCGGTGCATGTGTTCGGTGCACGAAGAAAGGAGGGCGAGGCAACGACAAGGCATGCGAGTGGAGCTTGATCCCTATTCGAGGAGAAGAAGTTTGTGCATGCGTGCCGGAAGGTCAGCAACCGAAGGAAAAGACAAGCTTAGAGTCTAGGGTAATGTTTATCTGTTATTTATATATATATATATATA